TACATATAATAATAATAAAGATAATAATAACCACAAACAAGATTTGAATCAATCTGTTATCATAAAATATAAGTATTTAAATATCAAAATATAGTTTTAAAGATCTGTTACATCTTGCCTATAATAATAACGTAATTTTTTATATTTTTTCTAATAAATTTGCTTACTGTAATTTTCATATTTTTTTCTTATCTTAAAAATTATATACGACCAATCTTCCTAAGCTACAACACGTGGAACAGTGTGGCCATGGTCCAAAAGTCCTTTGATCGTAGACTCTTCTTCTCAAGATCACAGACTGCATCAGCTGACTCAACAGTTATAACTGAGCAAATCGGTAGCTGTTACGTAGATGCATCTTCTGAACGATGAGTGACGTTCGTTGGAACAAACAGTCTCATTGGTCAGTTTCAGCTAGCGATAGGAAAGACGCTACCAAATGTGACGTCAAAACACCAAACATGTTCCGAAAGACAGCTACCGTAGAGGGCGTTTAGGAGGAAATTACTCGACAGCTCCGGAACTGTCGAGTCTGCTTAATGGCTCTGAAAAGGAGCCGTTTGTTTGCTAGATTAATCTAGCAATTCCGTTTCCGGTTTTCGTTGAAGTTTTCTTTCTGCTTCCACTTCATCTCCTTCTACGACATCTCCCCCTTTTCTCACTCCTCCTCGTCCTTTTTAATTTGAATCGCCTCCTGGCTTTGCTGGTCTTCGATCTCTTCTTACTTGTTAGATGATTTTTTGTGTTGCAGCTATCTTGCTTCCTCTACGTTTTCTTGGATATCCTTTTGTATCTTTCTGCTAGCGTCATTGAAGATATCTTTTAATCTCCTAAGTATTTCTCGATCGGAAGGAGTCATTTTCTTCAACTCGGGGGCTCGAGTTTCTTCTTTCGTTTCCCGACGATAGTTTATGGCCACGTTTTACTTCGAAGCAGAAGCAGAATGACGGAATTCGACGTTTCGAACGATCTTTAAAAGAAACGATTTCAAATAAAATCAAATAAAAACAAAACCTTTAAATACCAGTAACAGAACTTTAACGAAAACGCCGAATGTTTCGGCCTTCACCAAGGCCGCAATGATTAAAAAACGAAATGGCATGGTAGCTTTTTTTAAGGTGTATTGATGCTACTAAATTTTGATGATTAGAGGTTGCGGGTGTGAGGAGATACAGCAGGATCAAGCGTCATATCTCGAGAGGGGAGAAGATTTTACTGTTATTAGCATTTACATTTTTTTTCTTTTAATAAAACTTCTGACTTCTCTTAAAATTAAACTTTTTGCCATTTTATAAAAATTAATAATATAAAAAGTTTTTATAATAAAATCATAGCATATAGCGATATACGTAATTTTATTTATTATGATTAGAAACATAAAAGTTTTATTTTAAATAAAATGTCCTAGCAGCCAGGAAAGTTATGCAATTCTTTGCTTGATTTTTTTAAGTTACGGTAGTGTTTTTTCCACAATGTGTTCGGAATTTGTTACTCCGAAAGTCGGCAACCAAACCTCCTCCCTTACTTAAACTATACACAGGGCCGGATCATCGCATAGATAAATGAGACAAATGTCTAGGGCCCGGTTTTTAGAAGGGCCTGATCAAACTGTCTATTTTGAAAAGATTTGTAAATAAGATAGTTTACTTTTCAGTTGGTTTTCTGTTGTTTATTATATACAACAGTATATAATAAACAATATGCTTTTTATATGGTTATTGTGAATTCTAAAATCTAAAGAAAATGTACGTGGGTTGTTCAAAAAGTTCCCGAACTTTTTGAATAGCGCGCCTCCAGTTTGTTATTTTTTAATCTGCTTGGAGGTGTTGTGTTCGCGGAAACTCCCCGAGTAACCTCCTTCAACCTGTTTGTTGATACCTTGTTTTGGTGATTAGCTACGGCCGAAGTGGTGTTTGTAGGGTTCGGCGAAAATTCGGATCCGCGGAAATCAGCTCTTTGAAAGAACAGCATTGTTCTGTGAAATTCTGTGTGAAACTCGGAAAATCTTTCACGGAAACTTTCCACGGGTGGGTGAAACAGCCCCGCACCAAAACAGCTCGACAAGTTCGCTCAAATGTTAAGGTGATGTTGACTGTTTTTTCGATGCAAAGGAGGTTGTACATCACGAATACTTACCTACAGGCCAGACAGTCAACACGGAGTACTACCTGGTGTTATGAAACGCCTAAGAGACAAAATCAGGCGAGAACGGCCCGAACTTTGGAGGAGCGGCAAGTGGTTTTTTCACCAAGACAACGCTCCGGCTCATTTGTCCCTCAGAACACGAGTTTTTGGACAAAAACAAGACCGCCGTGCTTCCCCACCCACCCTACTCACCTGACCTGGTCCCATGCGACTTTTTCCTGTTCTCCAACAAACTAAAAAACACGCTCAAATAAAAAAAGATTTGCCACCATTCCAGAGATAGAAAAAAAACGACGGAGGAGCTTATGAGCATTCCGGAAAAAGCGTTCCAGGATGTTTCAAAAAGTGAAAACACCGTTGAAATAAGTGTATATGTTGCGGAGGAGACTACTTTGAAGGGGACCCTGACAAATAAATTGTATGTGAAGTATTTTTTTTTTGTAATAAATAAAGTTCGGGAACTTTTTTACTCCGAAAGTCGGCAACCAAACCTCCTCCCTTCCTTAAACTATACACAGGGCCGGATCATCGCATAGACAAATGAGACAAATGTCTAGGGATAGATAAATGAGACAAACGTCTAGGGATAGATAAATGAGACAAACGTCTAGAACAACCCTCGTATTCTTATGTTTCTTCTTATTGAATGTAAAACTCCCAATAATTTAGAATATTCTTTATAGCGATAAGAATAATATTAACTACTAGCAGGTGGGCCCGGCGTTGCTCGGGCAAAAGTAACGATAACTAAGATAAAGATTATTATGTTACAGTCAACCTTACCAGTTTTCACAGAATGCAAGAATTGGGTCCCCTTGTTTCCAGACTAATTAGAAAATTTTTAGATGGGTCTAAAAATATGTTCGATTTCCCGCAAAAACGAAAAAAACTGCATCTGCGTCTTGCATGTCGCTTTCTCTTAACAATTCCATTGTTGACACTTCCATTGTTACTTAAA